ATGCTTCTCATTTAAATACAAATGTTTTCATTACTTACAGGATTATCTGCTTAACAGAAATTTGTTTTGTACACCTATTACTTCAATGACAGCAGTACTCAAGCTGCATGAACTCCATAAGTCTGTCAAACCTGATGATCATGTTCCTCAGCATGATTTGAGAATGTTCGAAAAAGAGCATCTTGTGCTTCAGTGGAAGAACATCTGACTGTCTGTACAAAGGAGTTCACATGATCAGTGTAACAAATTTAATTACTTGATCAGCAACCTGGAAATCCAAAATCTTAAATATTTCACTTAATATGAAAACATTTGCTTTCAGTCCTGAAACTTCTGGATCTCACTATAAAAAGGAATTTTCTTAGATCGTCATAACCATTCATTTCTATCTTTATTTGTAATATATTTTATGTTTAATATGTAAAATATTTTGAGTAATGTAGTTATAAAGTGTTAACTTTAGAATTTCTGTATTTAATTAAATACAGATATGTGCTTGTATATTGTACATTACTACAAGAAAACACATGACTACAAATAAAATACAAGAATACAAAAAGATGTAACAACCGATTCACTCTACATTACAGATTCCACTCATTCTATAGACACTGAACTAATGATTATATAGATTAGAATAAGAATACATCCTAACTATTAATTACATCATAATCATCAAATACCTAAGCCATAACCACCTTAAGTTGTTTATTTTCCAAACATTTACATAGCAAATTTTCATTCAAGCCTTTTTAGCAAATGCATACTGCAGAAATGCAGTGCAATGAGATGAGTATTTAAATACTAAGAATGGCTTTTTCAAATCCTACATTTACCCCATCTATTCTACTTTTCCAATGGCAGTTTAAGACACACACACACACACACATACGTGCACATGCATATACTGTATATTAAATGACAGCAATTCTCGATACTTCTGTACTTACCAATTTAAACCCTCATTACTCTGCACTCCATTACTTAGTTTTTTGCTTTAACCAGTTAGAGCATATTAATGGATGAACAGATCTGTTCTTGTGTTCCCCTTGTTCTACCATTGACAAGATGCAACAGAACTGTCTGTGGATGAATCCTGGCACCAGATCACAAAACACTAGCCCGGTAAATACTATGCTATTCTCTGCTCAGCTTGGGTTTCTGCTACCAAGAACGCTAACAAGCCTTGCCCAGAGCTGCAGCTTCCTAGTAGCGTGGGCCCAGCCCCCTCTGTCCCCCCAGGTCTCGCCCCCCTTCACCTGATACTGCAGCCAAATTCTACACCAGACATCTCTAGCACCCAAGCGCCAGAAGAGGAAGCAGTCCGGAGCAGTCTGCCTCGTTCTCATGCTGGACAGACACTCACAATCTACACAGTCATTTCAAACAAACATTCACACCAAAATTCAGCTTCTGTTCACAGACAGATCGCGCATGCTGTTCGTGCCTGAGCTCTTTTGATAAAAGTCTGAGCACCACATGAGATTGAGAAAGAGCCCCTATCAACCGCATACACCTTCAGTAACGGCGGAAACTACTGGATGTAAAATATGCCCGTCTCTGACGATAAGAAACTATATTAAATGAAAAACATCTGTATTATATGAAGTAAATCAAATAGGAGTACACTAAGTGGTAGAGTCGTACATATAGTTGATTATAACATCCATGCCCTGGATAGCACACAGACAGGGTGGGTTGTACTTCCTTGCACAACAGATAAGACAGACAGAGCCTCAGCAATGGTGTTTTACTTTAGCTGCTCTAAGAAAAAGTGGCATCTCTGTTTAACTCTACACTAGTCCTTTTAAATGCTAGGAACAATCTTAGAACCATAATTAATACATGATCACACAATTATGATCCATGTAATACTATGAAAAAATGTTTTTGTTTTAATATCAAACTTAACAGCATTATGTACACTACCGTTTAAAAGTTTGGGGTCCAATTTTTCTTTTCATTAATACTTTTGATCATTGAATGCATCTCTGCTAATAAAAACTACCAGCAGAGACATTCATAATGTCACAAAACATTTCTATTTCAAATACATGCTGTTATTATGAGCTAAAGCAGCATGTTAGAATGATTTCTGAAGACTAGAGTAATGGCTGCTGAAAATTCAACTTTACCTTCAAATATAAACATTTGATTTTATAATTATAGAATTTTATGATTATATAATTAGGACAGCAGACAAACTAAATTATTTTAAATTATAATATTTCATAGTATTGCTGTTTTTACTGTATTTTTGATCAAATAAATTCAGTCTTGGTGAGCATAAGAGACATTAAAACATAAAAAAAAAAAACTTTGAACAGAAGATGCTTAAAAATAAAGGTTATTTATTGGCATTCATGGTTCCAATCTTTCCATTGCAAAATGGATTCTTTAAAATGTTTTTTCACACTAAGAAAAACTGGTTCTTTTATGAACCGCTCACTAATGGTTCTTCTGTGGCATCACTGCAAAAATCTCCTTTCGGAACCTTTATTTTTAAGAGTGCAGTGTAATATACATTTAAGACACATGGAACCTCATAATTTCTTTCATAAAATAAATCTATGAAATAACAATAAATAACCAATAAACAAATCTATTAGCATTGATATTTGAGACTAATTTGAATCATACAACCTGGCCACTAAGAAGTCAACACTTTACAATAAGGTTTCATTTGTTAACATGAATTAACTACATTAGTTGCATTTATTAATCAATGTTAATGTCAACATTTACCAAACATTTATTTAAAAAAAAAAAATCTGTTAGCAATAGATAATTCACTAAACATTTGTTTTTTTATTAACTAACAATAATTAATAAATGCTGTAAAAAAAAAAAACAATACTGCTCATTGTTAGTTCATTTTAGCTAATGAGGCCTTACTTTACAGTATTACCGATGTACTTAAGTGTAGTGAAGCAGCTTTCTAGGAAACGTCTGTTGCAATGTCTAAGCCCCCGCTCAAGACAACTAAAATATCTGGACAGGCCTTAACCTCTGCACACAGAAATACTTCAGCAGGAGTTTAGAGCCTCTCACTCTCTGCTAATTGTCTTGCGTGTCAAAAGAATGTATCTGTGATACCCTGAACTAGCAGGTAATATTTCAAAAACCAATTTGTTTTCTGAACAAACCAACAATCTTTAGCACTGTGGCAGGTCTGCAGAAATAGAAAATATTCTTAGGTATTCTCAAACTCTACAAACCACACATTTTGGGAAAAAGACCACTGTAAAGCTGTAGTGTTAAGGAGGTTTTATGGGCCTACTGAGGTTACACCACTGTATAGCTTATGCAACAATAGGCCACAATCCCCTATTTAGGACATATAGATAGGCATTAAGCCTACATTGAGTAACATTTCCCACCTGATAACACTTGGATCAATGCACTTTTTGCAAATTCGAACATATGCGAGTCAGAAACTAAACAAGGTTCTAGGCAAATTGCCTCTCGGAAGTTACAAAAACATCCCAAATATTTAAAATGTGCACAGTGAATTTCTCGGTTATCTAACATTTGACATATTTCATAACACATATTCTAAGAGTTTCTATTAACAGATTCAGTATGGGTTTTGTTTCGCCGCAGACACTGTTGTGACCTGCAGCTGTCACATATCTGTCAAATTCTAGTGGTGATTGTCTTATGATATCTTGGGATTATTTATGGCTTCTTTCATATTTAATTTCATGAATTCATTTCACACGTATCGGTCAAAATTGTTCAGATTCAGAATGAACAGATTTAATTATAGTAACTAACAAATTGAGATTTAAACATCATCTGAAAGCAGAATAAATAAGTTTTTCATTGATGTATGGTTTGTTAGGACAGGACAATATTTGGCTGAGATACAACTATTTGAAAATCTGGAATCTGAAGGTGCATAAAAAAAACAAATCAAAATATTGAGAAAATCGCCTTTAAAGTTGACCAAATGAAGTTCTTAGCCATGCATACTACTAATCAAAAATTAAGTTTTGATATATTTACGGTAGGAAATTTACAAAATATCTTCATGGAACATGATCTTTACTTAAAATCCTAATGATTTTAGGCATAAAAGAAAAATCGATAATTTTGACCCATACAATGTATTTTTGGCTATTGCTACAAACATACCTGTGCTACTTATGACTGCTTTTGTGGGTCCAGGGTCACATATGTATAAAAAAATAAATGTTGCCCCCATAGCGGCAAAAAATTGCCATTAAACAAAGTTAATTTGTGACACTGATTATATAACAATGTATGTTCTCAGCTTAAAATACATATATATATATATATTTTATAATCTATTCTGGTGTGCAATTTTTAATTTAAGAAAACATGTGAAATTTAAGAAATATGTAAAAAAACAAAAATAAAAAAAAACTTAAAGATGAAAAAGTTTATCTTCGTATCGTAACAGTAATTTATACCACAGAACTGAATTAAGGTTGGATTTACTCCATGGCCAAGCATTTATATTGTTTGACATGTTGTGTCATTTCATAAGCAGTCATGTGTATACGCCTAATAAACCTCAGATAAAGAAATTACCTTTTTTGCCATGTGCCTAAATTTGTCAATTAAAAAAAAAGAATACTATTACTTATTTATTGACATGACGTAAACTTTCTGTTAAATAGACTAGTCTAGGCCTTTCACATTAACAGTGAGGCAGGTATAGCAGTCAATCCAGGCATGGAAATAGCGGGATTTTTCTGGATATCTTCATGATTTTCACCACACATTACGTGCTATTAGAACCACTGAATTGCATACATTATATGTGGATCATCAATCTAGGTCTGTGCTGAATAACTCGATGTACGTCATTTTAAGTGTCTCTATACATTTCTCTTGGTCGCTTTAGTTGAACCGGCTTCGGACAATCAGAAAGGGGGCAGACTGAACAAAAAAACTAGTTAAAAGACATCGAACATTCGCCTTAACATGAAATAATCGATAAGCATTCACAACACACGGAGAGATAAACTCACCGATCCTTCTGTCGTGCTCTTTTATTGTTTTTTCGGGTGTCTTCTTTTGTTTGCGAAAAAAATGCTAACAAGAATAGTCGGGTACATTTTCCCGAGGCTAGAGACGGTGGTGGATAAAACACACGGACGGGATTCGATTGGAACCATAACTGCGATAATCGAAAAGCAAACTGCACGTCAATGTGTCGATGAACTCGTAAACATTTTACATTTTGTATTTACATGGCCTACGATCCCCTCATCCCTTTGGCATTTCTTTCCCTGACTGCCGATATGGTCGCCAAGTGCAGCAGTGAAGAGAATCAGGAGACGTGGTGGTGGCAAAGCTTCTGTTGACTGACATCAAGGGACTCCAATTGCGCGAAGTTCTGTGTTCCGGCGGATACGGATGGGGAAAGACTTTAGAAGAAAGCGTCACTTCCCCGCTCGAATTCCAGCTAGTGGTGGGATGTCTGAATCAATTCCATGAGTCGGTTCGTTTGAACAGTTGGTTTCAGAGAATCGGATCAAAAATTATTCAGACGTTCTTTTACGTAATTACGAGTATACGTGGTCCCTGACATCCCGGCTTGGTATATTACTGAAACTTTCCGAACAATAAAGCCAAATATAGGCACGTTTTGCAGTTTAAAGGTGTTATAAATAATAAAACAATAAATAATGATATTTCGCTTATTGTAATATCATTATCTCATATTCCATCTTTATTCGACCCTCTAACTCTAGCACTTTCTATTCTATTTTAATTCAAGCCATTGGTGGAGGTTTTTAGGGCTTGGGAGGGTGTCGTATGTTGCCCTAATGAGGAAACTGAGCTGAGCCTGTGGTAGTTTCCAGAACTCTGCCCAGCTGATTGTTCGGTTCGCGACACCCTCCCAAGAAGGAAACATGTCGTTCAAACCGGAAACCGTAGCAAAACGGTACACATCGGTTTGAGCTTGAACTTGCCCCTGGACTGCTCAAGTGACAAGATATAAACACAAATTAAGACGTTAAGTGTCTGTGCTGAAAAGCAAACTCACATGAATGTATCCTAACTTGCATAATGTGTTTTGATCTGTATGTAGTGTTATGTAGGGCGATTATGTAACTAGAAACCAGAGCAACCACGTGTATATGTTTACATGCACAATTTTTGGTTCAATCGGACTGAATTCATTCCGATTGATGAATCTGAATGTAGTGTTTACATGAACGCTAAAGAAAGTGATCGGGTTGATGTGCCTGTTTATATGTCACAAGCTTCAAATCGGAATAGATTTTTTTTTGTCATGCACACACTGCACAAATATTTCTCACAAAAGTTTCTCACTGTTTGCACATAACCACTTTCCTACATGGTTTATTTATTTGTTTTTAACAGCAGAATTCATATTTATTTATGGATAAATATACATATAAACTGCTGTGCCGTGCTGCTCATATTTATCACACAGTAAAAATGCCCCTCCCCGCGCCCAAAACGGGTTGCCTGTGGATGAGAATCCAAAACAAGGACTGGTGGGAGGTTGTCCTGCTCCACTTCACAGTTGCCGAGTGAAAGTAGAGTTTTATAATGACAGGACACGCATTTATACAACACTTTATTCAAAAGGAAGAACCGCTTGTTCTGCGCGTCATACGTCATTACGCTATTTCTGCGTCATTGCACATGCGCAGTTTTTTCAGTTTCGGGGTTCAATCCGATCGAGTGTTTACATGCACTCTCAATCGTATTAGAAAAGGAATAAACCACCCCCTTCAATCTGATCGAGCTCAATCGAATCGATTAAGGTGCTTACATGAAGGTTTTTCGAATGAGCCCTCAATCCGATTACAAATGGATTATTTGGTTGCATGTAAACGTAGCCAGTGACACCATACTGTATGCAATTGCATGGAGAAGTGTTGCCGATTTAAAGAAAGAATAATCAGAAAAAAAAATAAAAGCTTGTGTTTTAAAAAAAAAATTTTTTTTTTTGAGCTTCCACGTCGAGAAATGGCTGTCAAGCACTTCATTTATTGGATTTTGTTCAGTTGTGTTATATAAGCTATCCAATGTGTCATAACGGATTTGTGAGTGTAATGAAAAATCATCTTAAAAACGCCCTTACATTATATTTAGCTATAACATAGTAAACAATAAGTAAAATACAAAAGAGTTTCTCTATAAATAGTTTCTAAGAAAAGGAAACAGTGTTGACTATCATGTGAGTGAGTCTTCCTTTATCCAGTGTCCTCTTCATGCAACCTAGTCAGGTGACATGGGTGCATGTCGTGTGACAAAGGCTTGCTTTTCTTTAAAATCCCCCTGTAAGCCACAGTGTCAACTACTGATCTTTTACAATCATTGAAGCTCATGTGTGCTTGGACTCTAACAACATGCTTTTCATCTCCTTACAGTACTCAGATACTTTGATATTCATATAGGGCTCTCTGTGGATTAGGCTACTTAATCATGTGACTTTAGAAAGTCTAAGTCGGCTAAATTCACGTGAGCAAGATTAGGCAAAAATGTGTCCAACCTTATTAATTACTGGAAGGATACTGCAGTGTTTGTTTCTTGATATTTGGAGACATTTGGATGGAACTGACAACATATCCTTTAACGTTCGCACTTAGCGTTATTGTTAAATGGAGGTATAAAAATGCTTTTAAATTTCGTGCAGTAGTTTTAATTTTAGGTCGTTTGCTATGACAACCCCAACCTCCCATTTCAAGTAAAGTTGTTTTAATTAATCTTTATGGAATAATTAAAAGTGATATACTGCCCTCTACTGATTTAATCTTCTTTAAACATAAAAATGCCCTTTTCAACCACAACACAGATTTGATTGATTTATCTGTACCCTGCATTTGTTATGTTGATAGACTACTTTTTTAGTGTGAGATTAACCATTTAAACCGCCGGCTGGACACCACCCGCACAAAAAAAAATCAAAATTAATGTAATTATTTAGATCAACTCTCAAGGAGCGCTGAGCAGTCCCTCTAAACCGAAGTGTACCGCGGGCGGGACGCACCCCCTCCGCGACAATATTACTAATCATATTTTTTCAAACCACTGCCTTGATCAACAAAAAGCCACTTTGATTAACTCCAAAGTAGTGCCGAGTTATTTGCTAATAAATGACAAAAAAAAAATCATAATTTACAAAGTTTTTTGTGCCATGTACTCTAATATGTCAAAAATATCATACAGCTCGGATAGTCATGTGTCATATGTCATTTGAAAGGTCTCATTGAGTAGAATAAAACAAGCATAATTGTTTAGGGCTTTGAATAAACTAGAGCGAGTTTTTGTACAAGAAGTCACCCCCAGACCCATATGAAAATAATGTATTGATGTCACTGTTTTACTTGTAACTTCATAAAACATGATCAGATCGTGGAAAAGTAGGCACCATTATTTATGGGCCCATAAAACCATAAAATGAGCCCAAAATCACTATAATCTGCCATTTATATCTAAAGATTTTCCTCATTAATTTATAACCCACATAAAACTGCACAGGCAGCATAGTTTAGCCAAGAAAATCTAAGGTAGCTGTCATGTGGCGATTTCACTCATAACTTCATGAAACATGCATATATCATAGAAAATGACACGCCATTATTTGCAGAAAATTCTCCTGATTAAAAAGAGCCCAAACTCACTATAATCCATCGCCCCGATCTAAAGATATCTCTCATAAAGCTATAACACATAGAAAAGAATTAGGTCATGTAGCTTAGCAAAAAAATCAGAGGTTGCAGTCCTGTGGCGTTTTAGCTTGTAACTTCACCAAACATGCATAGATCTTGAAAAACCGCACAGCGTTATATTCGAAAAATTCTCCCGATTAAAAAGAGCCCAAATTTACCATAATCCGTCTTTCATAGAGCTGTAACTCATGAAAGCAGACAGGCGCACTGAGGCGCTGCAAAGAAAAACAGCTCTATGCTTCACATTGCATTTTTATTCATAACTTATTATTTTCAGAAAATTCTCCCGATTAAAATGAGCCCAGAATTACCATAATCCGTTGATGAGATCCAAAGATATTGCTCATATTGCTATAACACATAAAACCCAATGGGTGCGCTTCAGGCACAGTGGGACAAATAACTGTAGTTTTTTACTCTTATCATTTCATGAAACATGCTCCAATCGTGGAAAATGGCATATCATTATTTACAGCAGATTCTAAGGATTGAAATGAGTCCAAAATCAAAACAATCAATTTTTCCGTCTTTCGTGTGTAAATAATACCTAAACCGATGAATTGAAGAAATCAGTTGGAGAGCTCTATATTGAACACTTGGCAAGCAGAATGTAAAACCTAGAATATTTCTGTGTATTTTATATAACATTTTTTTATGTATCATTTTAAAGCTTAGAAATTCAGCTTTCGAATGCATCCAACCATTTTGATCAACTCCTAACCAGTGCTGCCTAGTTCCTCTAAACCGAAGTGTACCGCCGGCGGGCGCCTCCTAGCGAAGAAAAAAAGAATAAGCATATTTTTCAAAATAGTAACTTTTGATTACCCTTCATGATATCACCACAAAATGTAATTCACATACAGCACACATGCTGGGGAACATCACCAAAAAATAACTTTTCTCCTACCTTATTTCTTTCATGAGATATTGAACATCAAATAAGAATGATATGAAAAATTTCCCTTGACCACACTAATTTCTCAGCATGAGAATATTCAAATGCAAAGATTTTTTTCCCCATAAAAATATATTAAAAATATCTATCAGACGATACCTACCTTTTGACTCTCCTTGCTACGGTCCTGGAGTTATGAGTCAATATTTTTGTGTATGGCACACAGAAAACGACAGTTTTTAAAATTCCTTCAAGGAGTCAAGAGCTAAACAAAAAGGCCTGTTTTGTTACAAAATACTGTAACTTTTGGATACTTTATGCTATCACCACAATTTTACCTCCTACCTTATTTCTGTCCTGAGATATTGAATGTCAAATAAGACAGATATGAAAAATTTCTCTTGAGCACTCAAATTTTTCTTACATTTTTATCAGCTATTTCTCAGCAGGAGAATGTCCAAATTAAATCAGTTTTCTATCAAACGACACCAACCTTTTGACTCTCCTTGCTACAGTCTTTGAGTTAGGAGTCATTATTTTTGTGTATGTCACTCAGAAAAAACATCAACTTCAGTGAGGCAAAAATGGCCTCAGGGCTTAAAGGGTTAATGGCAAATGGCAAACATATGAATGTTTGTAAACTGATATTTCCTACTGACACACTACAGCAAAAGATAGCAATAACTAACTTAATATCATTTTTTAGCTGGTGAAAATACTAGTGTTCTAATAATTTTGGCCATCACTGTATTTAAAAATGGAATTTATTCCTGTGAGGGCAAAACTGAATTTTCAGCATCATTACTCC